GGGGGGGGGGGGGGGGGGGGGGGGCTCATTTTTGCATAAGGCTCGACTTTCCTTTTGGAGACTTTGTGCTTATTGTTAGACGATACAGTCTCATTTGACAGTACGGTAACAAATGATCAGTCGAGGTTTATTTAGAGCATAATGCGGCACTTACAGAACTTTACAGAACTGCCAGGTCAAGCAACTGGGCTTTACACTAGCTGAACGGACTCATCGGGCTGATTGTGAGGCGGATGAACCCAGTTCTAAGCCTTCGCTAAAGGATCCAAGTGCTATGACTTGGGCTGGGGCGCCAAGGTCGACCAGCCTCTGTCAACGGCCAACGGGCGGGACCTGGACCGAGGAGTGACGCCAGACCGGTGCGCGCGATGACGCGCCCCGCTGTTTCGCTTGCGGCATACGTGAAATAAAAACTATTCCAATCCCAGTTACCATGCAAAGTTCGGTGGAGTTATTGATGAAAATCTTCGCATCGCTCAACAGTATGAATTATTTTATACTGGCAGTGAAGAAAAACAAAATCATGGGCCGTTTTCAGCTAATTTGTCAAAAGTTGTGTCGCCACTTTATATTTTTTATCATTAGCATTTTTTTCCAAGCGTTCACTAACAAGGTCAGCCAAACATTTTCTGAACGGAACAATCTCGTAGAATTCTATGCTCATACTTCCAGTGAGGTATTATCAAAATTTACTTTGGTTTTAGAGGGAATTTGTTGCGAAACTGTGGGGTTTTCGTCATTTCGGCGACGAACTCCACTCTCTATGTATACCTCGCCACTTTTTACTTCATTTCATATATGAAAATCATTTTTGTTCCTAAAAGGCGCTGCTCAGTCATGAATTACGATCGTTTCAGAACCATCGGCTATTTGGGATCGACAGAGGGGTGCGTCGAAAGGATGAACACATTTTTGGGCGCCATTTAGACGACATACCGATGGTGAAACTACTAAACCACGTGCCTCGATTTTTGTCGGTTTTGAGTTAGCTATACATAAACGAGTTGTAGGGGATGTCCTCCATCTGCCATCAAAATATATTTGTCGAAAAAATCGCGAAGTTTCCCTAAATCGTAGTTAAATAATATCACGTATCTCAGCGCTAATTCGCAATTCACATATCTCGCGCCGTCGCGAAGTTATCGCACACAGGAAAAATCTAGGAGACTTTAGCTGAGGCAAATCAAAAAGGTTATCCGGTTCAGGTATAACAAAATGGGATTTTCTTGAAAGATAATGAGTCTTGTTGCACTAAAGGGGCGCAGAGAGTTTCAGTGAATCTTCCCCTATGGAATTGGCGCTCCTCTATTTTTACCAAAAATCTCGCCTTCACAAACCGCGCCAATCGCGCTCATCGACGCGCGTGGTTGGGAATTTTACGCTTCTGCGCTACTTATGACTTTTAACTCTGAGAAAACTTTATTGAACGTAAGTAATGTATGAATGCAAAGGACACATTAAATGTTTTACTAAAGGCTACGAAGTGAGCAAGGCAGCCTTAGGCCATAGGTCTGTTTGAGGAAGTGCAAGTAGGTGCGCGTCAGATGTCAGCAAGTATAACGAATGATACAAGTAATGCGGACAAGATGTGTTATGGATGTTGCATACGATTGTATTGGAAGGCGACTCGTCCACCGGGAAAAGAAAATTTAACTTTTTCATTGCCCTGCTAAAAATGTTCCGTGTGGATGATCTCCATGAAGTTGGTTTCCATGAAAAAGTGACACGGAAAAATCGAACGAGAAATATTTCCATGTGGCTGATTTCCGTGTGACGGATTTCCATGAACATTTTTAAGATGATCACGGAAACAAAAAGATTTTCCGTGAAAATTTTTCATGGAAACGAAACCATTTCCATAAAAAATGATCACGAGATGGTTTCAGTACCATCCAAATTGCTCATGGAAATTAAATAATTTTTAAAATCAAGATAAAGGAGACAAGCGTCTCTATGGGGGCACGGGATATTTGGTCCATGCAGACATTCTCAATAAAACAGAAAATGAACTAACGACACTCACCAACTTGCTCGAATCTGTAATCTTTTGGGCCAGGAGTATTAGAAAAATCATTTAAGAAGGTAACCTACTACCTATACCTACTTCTTACAGAACGGGTTACCTAATCTGACATGGCGTTTACAAGTATTGTAATTAATAAAAACACGATGACTGGTCCAGCTGTAGGACCTATAGAAACTTCCAGTGCATTAATTTAATCACAATGTTCAATATGACTCTTCGTTAAGCCTTAAATCGATCAAAATCTTCTAATAACAGGCACAAAATCAAAATTCGAAATTCACATATCTCGAGGTAACAGTGTTGGTTCCTAATTATTCTCAAAACACATAACTCTGTTTTTCCTTTGTATTTCCTCATTGGTGGGGGTATTTATAAAATGTTCAAGGCATGGTGAAGCATTCTATCATTTCTATCTCCAAGGATTAATACCTTTTAACTATCAAAAATGAGGAACGGAAACAGTTTTTTGCTCTCCTGAAAAATCGGGTTTTCCGAGATACGTGGTATGGTACCTAGTTTCACCATCGATACCCTTCTGTTTACCTATTCTGATTTCAAATATCCGATGATTCTGAAACGATCATAATTCATGACTGCATGACCAGTGTCTTTGAGGAAAACATAATTTTCATGAATGAAATCAAGTAGAAAGTGGTGAGGTAGAAAGGGAAGCATTTGTCAATACAATGACGAAAAACCTACATAAACCCCCCCCCCCACCTGAATAAAATAAATTAAAATAAAATAAATAAATGTATAAGATAAATTAAAATAAGTAAATGAATAAGATGAAATAAAATAAATAAATGAATAAGATAAAATAAAATAAAATACATAAATTAATAAAAAAAAAATAGAAATAAAATAAACAGTTAATAAGTAAAATAAAATATACCATTTTAATAAATAAATAAATAAAATAAGATATTTTAAGTATTAAATAAAATATGTATTCTGCTACATTTTATTTTAGTCTGAATAATGTAGAAAATAGTGTGTGTTAGTCGACCAATAATACGGTAAACGCGAAAAAAATGTGATTAGACCATTGTTGTCATATTATAGCGATGAAAAGAACCGGGGTCACTAAAATTAGACGCTTAGCACAGAGATGGAAAATTTCATGAAATTTATTCGAGTGAAATTTCACGCGTGAAATTTCATAAAATTTCATGAAATTTATTGAAACTTTTGGGATACCTTTAGGAGGCTAAGAAATGCCTAGAAACAGTGATTCTAAATTTTGAAATTTTTCACCCCAAGCCTGAAAAATTCGCGCGTTGCAAATGTTTTCGTTTAGTTTAGAGGTTAGGTTGGGGTTCTTCTCTCTAAACTCCCCTTTTTGCCCCCTCTTTGTGTCTGGCACGTTCAGTAGAGTAGCATAATACCACAGCATCAACTGAAAGACCATCTGAAACGCTTTCAGACCTCCAAAGGTTTAATCAATAATTCTAAAAAAATTAATAAATTTCAACTTTTGTGAAATTTATTCGAGCCTTTTGAAATTTCACTTTCCATCTCTGTTAGCACCCACGTATCAACATTGAACTCCACGAGATTTCTCCGTTCAGAAAATGTTTAGAGCAACCTTGTTAGTGAACCTGCGGAAGAATAAAATAAATACTTAAACATGATTCAAAATAAAAAGTAGCGACAAAACCTTTGGCTCATTGGCTGGAAACGACCCTTATTATGTGCCTGACTTGCGTGACTCATAGAAAAGTTAGGACTTTATTCACTCTCTTCGCCGGTAAAGAGATAATTAAGAGGGCAAGAGAGTCTCGTGGGCACGGTTAATAAACCGCAAGGCTTTTTTGCACTTTGCACTATACGCACTTTGACATACTCTCATTACTGTCAGATCATACGCAGAATTTTGGATGGAATGTCATAAGTTGCTTACCTTCCACCATAGATGTCGTTCGCGAGCGGTGAATTTTCATCATCGTCTGAAAATTGGTCATCGCTGTCTGGTGGTGGAAGCTGCGAGGAGTTCCTCAAAGCAGTCATGCTGCTTTAATTCCTAAAAAATGAGAGACATAATTTAGAGATATTTATTTAAAAAACCGATTACTCTTAAATGCACAAATCATTTACAAAGTATAAATGCAGATGTCGGTGAACAACTTTGATTCTGATGAAATCTCCAGCATTTTGCGCACTTTTTATATGTATTGGTAATGCAATGCTTGAATTTAATTCCGTTACATCTAAAATTAGATTCCCTATTTTAATCCCCAAACCAAAAGATTTTCAGCTTTTTGGTAAACATTACCTTCACAGCTCTGTATAGTAAGCTTAATATCCGGCAAGTTACATTCAATAGGTAGGTAATTTTTCGTAGCGCAAACCGCGTTCTGCGTGGATTTAGATGATAAAACTCACAAAATTTTGCTTCATGCAGTCCAATAGGTCTGGAAATGAAGAGTAAACAGAGAGTCTTCAAACGTGCTGTGAGAATAATAACTCGGGTTACATTAAAATTTTTGTGGCGCGCTGTCGCACTGCACCCAAGCTAGGTGGACAAATCACTAGGAGTAAAAAAGGCAATGAGCCGTGGATATAATTGCAGAGAAAGTCGGTGTGCGCAGCTCCGTGCATGGCGCTATAGTAAGGAGTCAGTGGCGCTGCGTGCTTTGCGATCAATTGATTATTCTTCCATTTCAACCTATGGAATAGGATCGATAAACAGGGTGCTCGCGACGAACTCCTCAAAAAGCAATTCTTTACCATAGCCTCGAATGGGGGAAATATCGATAATCGACCATTCACGCTCCGCCGCGGCACCGCCACTGTAAGGAGTCACTCATACTTGAAAGATACTTGACGGTATGCCACCAGAACGGTGAATCCGGCCCACCCGGTTGGTTGCTGGTCGCTCCGCAACCCCCCCCCCCCCCCCCCCCCCCCCCCCCCCCCCCCCCCCCCCCCCCCCCCNCTGGCCTCTTGGCGACAGGTGGAAGCTTTTACTTTCGGGGATTCAACAGTTCCTTATGGACAATTATAAGGGAGCAACAGTCATCACCCTAATTTCGGCTGTTGACCTACCTACATGGTCGATGATGAGCTTCGGGTGACGTCATGAGCCAAACAACTTTCCCAAACGTCGGCCATCTTCGGCTTGTTTGCAAAACGAAACTGCCAACACGTTGTTGAACATCAACCATGTAGGTAAGTCAACAGTAGAATGCTGAGTAGGTACTCCATAGGTAACTGTATCTGGTGTTGTTGCAAAATTCAAAGGCTAAAAGACTACGAGATAGGCTTAGAAACGGATCGCATTTACCGAGAGAGAACCAAAACAACGGTTCTCAAAATCGTGAAACCTCTCCTTTTGTAGCTTGAAAAGTAAAGCTTGAAAGAAGTAGCTTTAAAATGCATCGACGGTATAAGTCTGCAACCACGCATTTCGTTTCGACTATTTGAAAATCCCAGCTCCCATTTTATTTTATTAAAGAACAACTCGGCATCATGCCTTGGAGTTTTCGCAGATAAATTCCTCCGTCCAGAGAAGAAAAATTACCTACACGGAAGTTTATAAGAATTGCCGTTAAGTAGTTTTCCATTTAAAAAATAAAGTATGACAGGAAGTCTGCAACGTCGCAAACCGAGATACTGAGATACCGTCAAACGGGGTTACTTGGGGCAATTACTATAGCATAAAAAAGCTTCTCCATATCAAACGATACATTAATTTACTAAACTTGTTTTTTACTGAGGATAGTTCGTTGGTACGCATATCGAATTTTATGTAAAAAAGAAATTTATGCCCCCCCCCCTACTATCTTGTTTTCAATTGTCGACTGTCCCAAGTTGGACAGTAATGAAAATCAAGTAACTGGCCCATGTTAGGCTCTTCCAGGGCAACATGGGACAAAAACTAAATTTTTAAAAAAGTAAATCGATCATTTATTTTAAAAAGAACACAATTTTGGTAAATTTGTACTTTTCGGAGGGAAACGAACAGTTGAAATACGGCAATGCCCTGAGAGCAAAAATTAATACGTCTTATATCGGCTGAGCTCTTTTTAGATTTTTCATAACCTCTGGTGCACCCTTATTAAATGAATATGCCCTGCAAGTGAATTGTCCTCTCCCCCCCCCCCCCTGGAATTTTTTACGACTTTGTCTATTGATTATTCATACCTGAGCGCTTCTCTCCACAAATTTTCAGACCCCCAAAAAAATTTTGGGGGGGGGGGGGGGTGGAAGGCAAAACCTGTGATCTCGATATCTTTCGAACGAAAAAGGATACGGAGGTCCGTTTTGGACGAAAAATCGTCTAAAATTGCATAATTTATGATTTTAAACGTCAATATCCCGAAAGCACATTTTCTGGTTAACATAAGTGCTTTTTCCAGTTTTTGGGTCTAGAAAATTTCTTTTAAACAAAGAATTTACACAGATCTCAATGTTTGATTTGAACCAAAACCAGCTTTTCTAAATTGTTCGTCTTTTTCCGCATCCAACGAGTGGTTCATTAAGCTGGGGAACCAAGCGGTTCCGGAGTTATGAGCGATTGAAGTTTCCGCTCAACGCGCGCCGACCAATTTTTGCGCGCAAAAAAGCCGGATTTGACTGTTATTAAGTAAGGTTGAATGTTTAAACCGTGCTAAATAGGTACATTTTATGGACTCTTGAGAGTCGCTGAGTTCAGATATTACAAATACTTCCAAAAAATTCCCTTTTCTAAAATTTCAGCTCCGTAGCGCAATTTTAGAGGCCCACCAAGCGCCGACCGGCCGCTCAGTGGGCCTGTGCGGAGCTGAAATTTTGAAAAAGTGACTTTTTTGGAAGTATTTGTAATATCTGCTGCATAATAAAGGGTGCCCAGCGAGCGGTCGAGACTGATGCGTTCCCATTTACGGATTTTAATGCCGAATAAAAAGACTCAGGTTTCGTGAAAAGTACTATAAGTAAGTCAGCTTTTTGAGACTCACTTTGTCTGAGCTGCGTTGAAGTCTCCAATGGATTCTGCTTAAGGTGAATCTACAGCGGTGCGTAGTACCTTAGACATTTTTCCGCGCAGGCGCAGGTAGCGCCACAGCTGTGTTTTGATTTTTTGGTCCGCGCAATATTAGAGTCCATACAGCTCCACGTGAGTCCTTGAGCTTTTATGAAAGTTAAATGAATTTCTGTTAAAATCGCGAAGAGTCATAAGTTCTAGCCATAACGTTCTTCTTCCTATATTGACACTAAAAAAGACGTGAAAAGTAATTTCTGAAGCTCTGAAACTTGATCCCGGAAAAAAGTAGGGTTAAGCATGATGACCTTGATGCAACCAATCGCGAATAAGATCAGCAGTTGCAGATATCTCTTTCCCACCGTGAGCTATCTCTCTCGCACTTACAGATATCCCACAAGAGAAACTGGGATCAAGTTATGGCTTTCATAATTAAACTTTCAAAGCTCGCGTTTGTTTCTGAGCATTCCAGACGTATGCTGCTAAAACTTATGAGTCTTAGAATTTATATTGAGATATTTAAATAATCACTGATTTCGGAGCCGAATTTTAGCAGCGCGACGTGGTGGATTTTTTCGGAACTACAGCTGAAGATTCACCTTGAGCTAATCTCGAAGATCGACAAAATTACTTATTTTTAGGAAAATCATTGATATTTTCACTGGGATAAAATCTTGAAAAGAAGTGTTTGACCCGATGATACCTACTTTGCTGTGCGCTGCGTTGATGTTGAGGTCCCCTGAGACCAGGCGTATAACATGCGATAAATCACAGTCAGTGTGCGCGATTGCGAACAACCAGTATCCCTATATCAATGCGCACTGTAAAATGAGTGAAAGAATGAAGAAAAGACCAGACTCGAGAAGCACGAATCGCAATAAGTCGCAATTTGATGTATCGCGATTTTATCGATGTTGATTTAGTGCAATTTTATCGGATAAAGAACTGTGATAAATTGCGATTTCATCACATAAAGCAATACTTAAAATCGCGATTTTATGGACGGTGATTCATCACAATATTATCGATCAAAAAATCGTTATATATTGAGATAAAATTTCGATTTTATCAACGAAGCACAGAGGAGAAGGTCTCGTTAGTTCAATTAACTTATTTTTATAAATAATCGTGGGTATTTTAATTAAGGTAAATTCATACGTGGTGTCATCAAACTTTAGTCATCGATATAGCTCTGACGCGACAGATACACCTGAAGTCTATATATTCGCCTGCATAAAAACATGACTTCCGACTTTAATCAGTTGTCGAATGTCCGCCCGGCTGACCAAAACGCGTAAGAAACTTCGAAAGAGCGACGCGGCGGGGGCAGCGGCGGCGGCCCTAAGGAGCGGGGGCATCTAAAGAGGGAGAGGGCGATCAAAGTGGGGTCGAGATAAACCTTGAAATGGTAATTGCATCAGAGCTTGTTCAGAGAAAGTGAGCGACATTCTTGCTCTTGGTGGCTGCGGCTGGCGACGTGTAATTCCCGTTGCCAGGTCCCCAGAAAATGAATCCAAGTGCGCGCGGTTGCCTGAGAAGGCAACATCAGATATGATCCGATGTCGCAACTATCTTACGACCGCGAGTCTCAGCTGCTTTCCGGCTGATTGTGAGCCGCAGTCCTATCGCTGTTTCGCGGAGCCAGAAGAACTAGCACAGCCGTTTGGCGGAATATCCAGCCAGCAGCCAGCCTGATTGTTTAAAATTCGTATTAATCCATTGGATAATACAAGACCAAGAAGAAATGGAGTCATGTGATTGGCCATCCTCTTTGTCATGCTTATGTCCAGTGGAACTCAAGAGGTGCCTTTAGTTTGTCATTGATTTCTCTGGACTGGACCTAGGCATGATAAAGAGGATGATTGTTGAAACCGACCTATCACACAACTCCATTCTTTCTCCTGTCTTGTCCGATCGACTAGACACAAAATTTCAACAATCTAGCTGCAGGGCTTAAAGTCCGATTTGGCCGCAGACTGATTTTACCCCTGCCTTTCTTGCAGTACAGTAGGTAGTTAAAAAAACCCTTGGGTATGGGTCTTGTTTCATAAAAAGAAAAA